AAATGGGGAAATAGGTTAGAAAACGTTCTCAGTGCTAATTCTGCCTCTATTTGAGTTTTTCAAGGTTTTTTTTTTTTCCTGATGTGCCAATTAATTCTTTTCACATGCCCAGCCTAGCCTGAGTCATCTGAAGTAAAATCCTGAGTCTGAAGCTGCCAGCAGTCTTGCCATCATGCCAGGTATCTGGCACATCCAGTATTAATGGAAATTTACCCTGAGGTCTTGATTTCTTGAGTGCCATGGGGTATCTCAGTGTTTGCATCCAAAAGCTGAGGAAAAATAACATGGGGACTCTGAAAATGGTTGTCTCATTCTGCTAATGAGAAATGCAAACACAGAAAACTCAAGAATAATATTTATGTACAGCATTGCTTAGGTTATGATTACATATATCCTGAATATGAAACATGAGATGGTATAAAACACACTCATATTTTCACATCCACGGGGCTTCAGTGAGAATTGGCTTTCTCTCATGTGGAGCTTTCATGCTTGATACCAGGTGTTAATGATTCCTGTCTGCTTAAAAAAGACCCATTAAACTGTCAAACCATTCAGCCAAATTCATCATGTCATTTGAAATAGAGCTTTAATAGTGAGAAAAATAGGAGGGATTTCTGAAATCCCTTTTTCTTTCCTTCTTTTCTAGCTGAAAATTGACTGGCAGCTATCAGCAAATTGAAGACAGGGAAACTTTCAGAAGCATTTGCCTTCTAAACTGCTGTTGCCTGCAGTCTTGTTGATATCAGATTTTTATTTGCTTCCTGCATTTTTTGGAAGCTTTTGCTGAGAATACAAGAAAAAAAAATTTGAATTGCTTTTGGATTTCTTATAGAGGTTTAATCTTACTTTTAAAATCTGTGACCTGGATGTGCATTTAATTCCTTCTCATTTTTCCATTTGCTGCTAAATGTTTGTATCCAGAACAAAGTGGAATGCAAAATAATTGAGTAATTTGTAAGACTCTGACTACAAAATAACACCCCCCGACATTCTCAGTAGTTCAATTTTTAACTAAGATTTGACCTGTAGTAGAGATAACAAATAATTTTGATATTCTCATAGTTCTATATTTGCATTCAAACTTAAAATCTGTCCCAGTCTGCTGAGATTTGTTACTTCATGATGATTTATTCTCAATGACACCTTTGTTTTTAAATACTTTTAGTTTCTTCCCCCCTATACTAGTTAAACTCCTTCTCAACACTACAATAGGAACTGAAATCCCCAGAGTCAAAACTCCTCAATGCTAGATTATTTACATGAAACAAATACTTTTAGGTATTTTGCTGTCCTTTGACATTTGAAACCAGACTACTGCCATTCTACAGGGCTGCTTTCTGAAGTTCACAAACAACTCGGCATTATACACAGAAGACTCAGATCAGTTTTCTAAACAACATTTTTCATGCCATGCCACCCACGTATGAGAGTCTGGGGCTTTCCTCGCCTCTTCAGTCTTGCTGTGCTTCCTCTTTTATTCCTGTGCCTCCAGTCACCGTGGCAATGTGTGGCTGGAGCCTTGACTTGTGACTCCTTGGACTTGTTCAATGCAATAAGCTGATTGACAAATGCCTGGAAACATTGTCAAGGTATGCTCTCTACATCTCGAAATTACAGAGTTTGGGCTTGAGAACTGGGAATTCAAATTCAGGATTGAAGTTTAGGTCCTTCACTTTGCTGTATTACCATAAAGGTAAATGCTTTGCGTGTGTTTTGTGGCATTCCCCAGAGAAAAATACCAAAATTGTAGCTTTTTTGGAGAGACACAGCTGTGTCCAGATGTTGGCCAAAACTCTGTTAGTGTGATAAACCGTGTTACGTGTGTTCAGCCTGAGGTACTGAGGTGTTGTTATTCCCTGTGATGCTCAAGCACTGAGAAGAGAGGTGCAGCTGGCAGGAAGGTTATTGACACCGTCAGAGGCCACTGATGGCATTCAGGCAACCAGCCTGGCTTGCTGAATCTTCTGGCTGATGTTTAGCTCTTTGCAGGGTGTAGGATTTGTAGGCTTTTCTGGTAAGGATTTTTGTTTGGAAAAGACAGTGGATAGATTGATCAGGGCTGGTGGTGAAAAAAGGAAAAGGTGAAAAGGAAACTTTCACAGCGATGATCTCAGTTATGCTCTAAAATGTTTGTTCAGGAGAAAATGTTTATGAATTGGAAAAAAACAACCAGAGAGAAACAATAAAAAGGCTGTGGACAATGCCAGATGCCATTAGAGGCTGAAGGTTTATTTTCAGAATATACTTTTTAGAAACATTGCTTCAAATAATTTCATCAGTCTAAAGAAAATTGCACCTTATACCTTTTTGTTCTGCTTTTAGAGTGAGTTTTTATGGGAGAATGGGGCTGCTCTGAGTGTTGGACAGGCTAAACCCCGTGCTTTCAGAAAAGCTCTTTGAAAAGACACTGGGTATTGTCTGTTGTGTTTGTGTAGTGGTCCTTGCTCTGTGATGAATAATTGAAGTAAAAGTGGCTGCTGAGGTACAAATAATCAGAAGCGATTTTGTGAGTATACTGTAAGTGGGGTCAGCAGACAGTTAAGACCCTCTTCCAGCTTCATCACCTCCTCAGGACTGGGCTCAGCTGATGGGTAATTCTCAAGAAATTCCCAAAATACAACAAGTAATCCCCCAACACCAAATAAGTATTCCTTACCCTGAGTGAAACTAATAATTGGAAGTAATGCTGGAACTCTTAAGGAGAAAAGCTCCTATTTTTCTTGATTTTAGTGGATAGCATTGAGAAGCAGTGTACACAAACATACTCCCTGGGAAGGCTACAAATAATGAGATCACTAGCAAGCTGCCAGGAGTTAGGAAAAGGAGTTTTCTGCATCCAACCTTCCTCTGGTCCTACCTTATAAATTTCCCTGGGAATTTCCCAAGGTCCTAAGCTTTGCATGTAGGCTATCATCATACCACTGAAGGAGCAAGCAACCTTTTCCCTGCGTGGGAGAGTGCTAATTGCTATGCCCAAAGGGCAAACATGTGTTCTTCTGGCTAGTAATCAAATGATATTTGAAAGCCATTATACTGCCCAGCATTTGTACTGGATGGTTGCTGCAGACAACTTGCTGGGAGCTGCCTCGGGGTGGTCTGGTTATTGAGCATTTGCTTCAATCTTGGAATCAGCTTCCTGTGTAAATAAAGGGAAAACATTAATTAAGAATGTCTACTTTAAAGTGATCAGATGTTTGAAGATGTCATGTGTTCCTTCATTAAAAAGGCTTTGAAAATTAAAAACAGGTCACCAGCCCAATTTGGTTCTCCAGTTAATGCTTTTTGCTGTTTTGATTTGATCCAGTTGCCTAATCTTATTGGGGAGCAGCCTGTGGAACGTGCACCAAGAGAAAAAAACTTGGCAGGACATGCCACCTAGTCCTGGCTTTACTTGTAACTAGTGCCATGGAGATTGGCTTGGTTTGGGCTGTGGGGTGACAGGGAAGGTCCTGCCTGCAGTCACATGTGGGCTGCTGTGCAGGGAAGTGAGGGATCAGCTACTGAGCATCAGTAGGTGGAGGCAGAAGTAGAATAGAGAAAACTGGACAAGCACTGCTTGACTGCTATGCAGTCAAAAGATACAATCACTTTGCTTTTTACCTGTCTGCATTTAAACCAGATAAGCTTTTTTTATGCCTTCTTTTATCTCAGTGCCAGCTATGACAGGTGAGTTATAACTGAAACTATGAGGCTTTAAAAACACTGAAGTTTTACAGTTGTACCATATTGGTTGTCCAAAATTTCTTCTTTCTCACATAAATTTGAAAGCACAGTTGTGCTCTGAGCTCAGTGCCTGCTCTTTTGGAGGATAAAATGGTTTAACTGATCTTATTTTTACTCCCAAACCTAGGTACTAATTAAGCAATACCTGTAAGAGCAATAACGTCTCACTACACTGATCTAATCTGAAGCTATTAGCAGCTGCAATAGTTGTACCACGAGAAGAATTTTCCCCCTTTGGCATATATTATAAAAGCTGTCCCTCGATTAGGTCAAAAGTGCTTGAAGGCTACCGATTTTTACTGTTTTAGGAGAACGCACCTCTTTTTAACACTTTAATTGCTCAGTTTGAATTTGAATGAGCAGGTGAAGCAAACGTATTTAAGCATCTGATTGCCTGTTTGTCTGGCCAGGGGAGCTGTGCGATAACACAACAATCTCACTGCCATTCCCGCTGGATATCTGTGCTCCGGGGTGTTTCCCGGTGACACAGGAGAGGTGGCTGTAAACCTTTGCACTGTGCTTTGACAAAGGAGGGGTGTGCGGGGCTGCTTCCTGGCATCCCGGGAAAACAGCTGCGCCTCCGACAATTCCTGCTCCCTGGGAATGACACAGCTCCTCAGGCTGCCTGGGGATGTTGCTGAGTAACTCGGGGCCACTAACACCGGGGCTGTGTGTATATCCTTTACCGTGGGTCCTGGTCCCCGCGGAGATTTCCAAATTAGTAACACGGACGTGGGAGGGAGAGGCTGAGCTGCGACACTCCAAGTTCAGCCCCCGCAAACTTAACTTTTGTTGGGAGTTTTTCGAGAATGAAATTGGATTAGACCCAGGGATGACGTATCCTCTTTGATTTTTTTCCCCTTGTGCTCTGACGAGCTTTGTGTTTAGGCAGGCTTTTGTTTCTGGCTCTGAGCTGCTTTAAAAAAAAAATAAAAAAATTTGGGAGCGTGTCTCGGGGTGTCCAGGGTGCTGTGCTTTGCATCGATTGGCGAGGTTTAGCTGGAGCTGCTTGAGAGTGCTTTGTTCTCACCACCCCCAGGTCAGTTGCACAACATGCCCCTACAGTTTAAAAGAGGAAAAAAAAAAAAAAAAACCAACAACCAAAAAAAAAAAAAAAAGTGCTGAGTAATGCCAGCGGTTTCTCAAATGGCTGATGCAAACCTGGAGAATTTGCATCATCATTCAGCCAGAGTAACTTGGTATGACAAGAGCTTAAATACAAGTCCATGCGGAAGCTGAGCTGGTTTCCAATGATAGGGCAGTACCACAGTGTGAAAGCGCAGGTGTTCCTGAGCTGGGCTTGGATCACAGGAAGGGCTCACACACTCTTTGAGAGCTGGTTACCTGTGTGTAGGAGCAGCTGCAAAGATAAGAGGACACAGACAAAGTACTTGGCTACATAGAGAGGGGGGGAAAAAAAAGAGAACTCCTTCAGTTTCTGCTGAAAACTTTTCTGCCTGTGCTTGCCAGCAGCGTGCTGGTGGCACTGTAGCATGTTTAGGAAAGCTGCTCTGCCCACGGTCTCTAATGGAAGCTACTTGCAGGGACAAGCTAATGGCAAGTTGTCCTCTATGGACAGCGGACAGCCAGCCCGGGAGGGAAAAGTTGTGCTGAAGAAGAAAGTGACGCTTTTGAGGGGGATATCCATCATAATTGGCACTATCATTGGAGCTGGCATCTTCATCTCTCCCAAAGGCATCCTGAAGAACACAGGCAGCGTGGGCATGTCCTTGACTGTCTGGACAGTGTGTGGTATCCTCTCGCTTTTTGGTAAGTCCCTGAAAAGTTTCTAATTGGTTTAGAGGGGCAGCCGGTGAATTATTGTGATTATTTCTCTGATTTTACTATTGGATGGGAAGTCAGAGTGCAGAGCTTGAGCACCAATGGGACTACAGAAGGTCTGTGCTGCACGATGGGTTTGGGCAGGATGCAAAGACTTGCAACCTTTGTCCCCTCGCACCCAGCACCAGCCAGTGAAAGCTGGAAGCATTTTTTTTTTTTTTTT